CTTTCCCTGGTGCAAACTTGAGATATATTAATATTTTGTGCACAACATTGAGATGGAGTTTACGTGGTGCATGCATGTATTGGCTGGCCAAGCTAACTACGTAAGAAATGTCTGGTCGAGTGATTGTAAAATATTTAAGCTTGCCCACTATTTGTTGACACTGATTAGGATCTTTGAGTAGCTCTCCCCTTTCTCCATGAAGTTTATGATTGATTTCTATAGGAGTCTCTGCAGGTTTAGATCCCAACATCCCCGTTTGTTGTAACAAGTCCAACATATGTTTTCTGTGGGAGATGACTATCCCTTTCTTTGATCTTGCCACTTCAATTCCCAAAAAGTACTTAAGGGGTTCTAAATATTTGATAACAAACACCTTGCTTAAATAAAATTTAAGATCCTCAATACCCTTCACATTATCCTTTGTCATAACAATATCATCAACATACACAATAAGGGTAGTAATTCGAACAGTGTCCTTTTTCAGAAAGAGTGTATAATCTGCTTGACTCCTTTTGAACCCAAATGTCTACAATGCCTCACTGATTTTTAAACCATGCTCTAAGAGACTGTTTAAGTCCATATATTGCCTTCTTTAACTTACAAACTTTTCCTGTCTCCTCCTTAATCTGAAAATCAGGAGTCATGGCCATATCGATTTCTTCTTGGATGTGTCCATGTAAGAATGCATTCTTAACATCTAGTTGATGGTGTGACCACGATGTATTTGTAGTTAGTGAAAGAATGATCCTCACAGTGTTCAGCATGGCCACAAGCGTGGAAGTGTCTTGGTAGTCTATACTTGGAGTCTTGGTGAAACCTTTTGCAACCAATCTTGCTTTATAACTTTCAATGGTATCATCAACTTCGTATTTTACAATGAATATCCATTGACATCCTACGACTGTCTTCCCTTCAGGAAGGTTAGTGATGTCCCATGTATTATTCTGCTATAGTGCTTGGATCTTGTCATCTATGGCAGCTTTCCATTGAGAATGTGAAAGTGCTTTTGCAACATTGGAAGGCATTCTAATAGAAGGCAGAATAGATATGAATGCACAATGAGAGGGAGACACATAATGGTAGGATATGAAGCTTCCTATTGGATGCTGAGTGCAAGAACGTGTACCATTGCAAATGGCGATCGGTAAGTCCAAATTAGGATTCTCTGAGAGGGTGAAAGAGTTACCTGGGTCATGAACTTTTTCTGATTCCGGGTTAGCATTTGAGGTATGTTCGCTTAGAACTTCGGGTTGTAACCATTATCTTCCTCTTGGTATACTTCTTCAACTCCTTCTCCGAATGCACACCATTCCTTTCAGATAAATTACTCTCTTCAGATAAAAATGTTTGGGAATAAGAAGGGGAACAACTGAGCTGTTCACTAAACTGTATCTTATTCTCCCCCTAAAGAGAGCTCTAATGACATGTAGAGGAGAAGTATTTGAACAGATTCAAAGAAAGTGACATTCATGGAGACAACAAACATTGGTAATAGGATCATAACACTTGTACCTCTTTTGATGATATGGATACCCCAGAAAAATACATTTGGTAGCTTTAGAATCAAGCTTGTCTATCTTTGGACCAATAATGTGGACAAAACATACACAACCAAACACCTTGGTAGGTACAGGGAACTTTGGTGACTTGGGATGAAAATGAGAGGGCATGCGACTTATTGAAAAGGTAGCAGTGAGAACTGCTTCAAACCAGAAACTTTTTTGAACTTATATTCCCAGTAAAAGAGCTCGGGTGACTTCCAACAAGTGTCTGTTTTTTCTCTCAACTATGCCATTCTGAGGTGTTTATCAACATTCTTTGGAACCCAATCCCTTGATCAAGAAGATAACATTGAGTTTATTTGACACATAGACTTTAATTTGTGCGTCATAGTGAGTTTTAAGCATTTTGTTATAGACTTGGAATAAATTAGCAACTTCATCTTTGTGTTTCATTAGATAGACATTTGTAAATCTGGAACAATCATCCACAAATGTACAAAGAATCGAAATCCAAACACATATGCAACTGGTGAACAACCCCACATGTCAGAGTGTATAAGAGAGAAAGGAGTATCACTCTTTTTATTAATATTATAGTAAATGAAGTTCTACAATGTTTTGACACTTGACCTAGAGACTCAAACAATTTCGGAACTAAAAAACACAAAGTAAAAGACGATGCATGTCCAAGTTGAAATACACCCTTTCTTTATTAGCAATTGAAGATATGGTTGCTGCAGTCAAGGCACGACCAAGAATCTCCAAAAAGTATAACCTTCCACTTTCATGACCATTCCCAAATGCCTTCCCCATCATAATGTCCTAAAATACACCATGAGAAGGGAAAAATGCTATACTGCAGTTTAGCGTCTTTGTGAGATTACTAATTGACAGGAGGTTACTAGAAAGATCGGGAATATGCAAGGTGGATGACAAGTTAACAGAAGGAGTAACATACTAACATGTATGTTTCCCTTTCCCTCGATTGGAATAAGAGAGCCATTTGCTAGTTTGACTGATTCATCACTAGAACCAGTCATACGTTCATTTGCTGCAGAATCAATAATCCAAGGGATTTCAGAGCTGTTTATAGAGATATGATGCGCTGATGCAGATATACTTGATTGTGCAATGTGAGACTTAGAGGAGGAAGAAGGGCTTCGAATGGAAGCCTACTACTTGAGATCAAGGAGCTCTGTTTTAGGAATAGTCACCAACTCTTCTTGAGGTTCAAAGTAGATGGTATCTTGCAGCCCTTGAGCAACTGGGGTAGTACTTATGTTGATTTTGTCTGTATTTGTCCTTGGAAAGTTTACCCTTGGGCATCCAACCAGATCCCAACATGTTTCCCTTATGTGTTGAGTCTTCCCATAATGGGCGCACATTAATTTGCCAGTCTCATTAGATGTAGAGTTTCCACGGTCATGTCCACTACCTCGGCCTCCACCAAGGCTCCCAAAACGCCCTCCACCTTGATTACTATTAAAACTTGTGAATAGGGCTGATCTTTCAGTTTCACCGATAGACACTGCCATTATCTTGCGTCGAGTTTCTTCATGCTGAAGAAGGGAGATAATAGTGCCAAGTGATGGCAGAGTCTCGCCACCGAGAATATTTGTGCTAATTGTTCATACTCACCATTAACTCCCCTCAAAAGAAAAAAAATATTCCTTTGTTCCAGTCTCTCTCTGTTCCTTTGCACAAGAAGAACACTGTACGGGTTGATGCTGGCTTAATTCATCCCAAAGGCTACATAAATGAGCATAACAATCTCTTAGTGACAAGGCATCCAGTCAAAAATCTCTGATTTGCTCTCCAATTCATAAACCCTTAAAATCTTTTTCTTTTGGGAATAGGACTAAGAGACTACGTTCCATGATTCCTTAGAGGTATTGCAGTTCATAAAGGATTGACTCATACTAGACTGCATAGAAAATAGTTTTCTATTCATAATAGCCATATCTTCAACCTCCCAAGCTACTTATTTAGCATCCTTCAGGTAAGTTTTTTCCACATGACCATCAATGTATCCTAGTTTTTTCTTTCCATCCAAATATAATCTAACCGACATGGCCCATTCTAAATAATTGGTTCCATCAAACCTTACTGTGATGATTTGGGGCCCAGATGATTCCATATTTGATGCCTGTAGAGACATTTTCTACTGTAGTTAAGATCTGGTTACATCCTTTAGTCTTAACAACAATTGAGATCAAGTTACACCTTTTGATCTCTTCAAATAAAAGGTTTTATAGATCTGGTTACACCCTTAGATCTGTTCACACACCCATTTTTTTTAGAAAAACATGAAAAAACAATGTTAACAATTGCTTCTTTGATTGGGGCATATAAATCTCATCCACCCAACAAATAGGTTCTAAAAAAAATACTTGATTGGCATCTAGAATCATAAAAAACTCACCTCCATTGGCACATGTACTACTGGAAAAAAAGTTGGGGTTTTAGGGCACTATGACATCATCTAATCTAAAGGATGATGTGAGTCCTAATGTAGTTTCTGCATGCACACTGCATAATAGGAGGGGTGTTTTATAACTCTTTAGCTCTAGCTGTAGGGTAGGGCTTCGGCCATAATAGAAAAAGGGGTCGGCTCCAAGCTCTTCTTTGTTTGCTAACTCCTCCCCAGAGGAATGAAGAAGAGGGGCCTCCAGCAAGTTGGATCAAGAGAAGAGGAAGATCGATCCCGTGCTACTATACTGTGCTACAGGACATATGCTACAACACTATGTTACAATACGATGCTACAGTACCATCCTTAGTGATTGTCGGGCTCTAATACCAAGTTGAAATTAAAGTAGAGAGGAAAATAGTTTGCTAGGATTTAGAGAGAGAGAGAAGAAAGAAAATAAAGATGACGAAGAAGTGAGAGATAGAGAAAGAAAGTTAGTGGTTTACAGTTCACATGTGACCTCTACCCGTCTTATAACATTAAGTAATAACCCTAATGACAACTTATGGACAATACTACCCTTATTTGGAGATATAAGACAGATAATGAATAAATAAAAGATAAATGACAGTTCTGTCCATTAAATACATCAGAGCTTTTTCCTTTTATTTCAACAGCTTGTGTGATTGCGAGGTGCAGAAAAAGTGACAAAATTATAATAGAATTGGCCAAGCCACTAAGAGATTGCTAGTGTTGGGAGTTTGAACCACCCAAGCCCAGGACGTCCTTGACCGAGTTTAATGTCGATTATCTTTCTTCCTGGACATGAAAAAGAATTTGTGTAATTTATATTAATAGAAGATTGATTGGTTGTCTAGTTCTCGTTTGTCTAGCACATCATTTGAGAGTCACAAGATGATTTTTTTTTTTGTTAAGTACTTATATTTACTTTTTATTGGATATAATTACTTGCTGTTTATTTGATAGTGGCTAGCAATTAACCCCTTATGTAGTTTTGTAATTTGTATGCTCTAATGTGTGGTTTTTGTTATTTTTCATCCCTTCGACTATTTTCATCCCTTCAACAGACTGATGCCAATGATGACATTGTCGGGATGTTGCAGAAGCACATAATTGAAGATTACCAACATCAAAAGGTTCGCATGTGTTGCTTTTTTAATTATTATGAGCATTTATGCTTGGAGTCGAACTTTTGCAAGGATTACAAGAAACTGGATTTTGCTTACTATCAAAGAAACTGTATTTGTACTTATGTAGATGCTATGAAGATAAATTGTGTTTCACTAGCACCTTTTTTATTATCATCATGCATCCTGTTGAAGTTAATAGCTTTTTACCCAGAACATGAGATTCATAAAGGCAATAAACACAAAGATGGTAAATGCATAGATGATAAGCACAAAGAGCTATGATGTCAAGGAGCTCATTTGAGGACACCTCGAAGGGCAGCCTTCCTTGAGGAGATGATCATGTCGCACTCACCTATTGGTGAGTGCATCTGCTACATTACTAGCGTCCCTAACTCCATGTTGGAAGGACATCAATTTTGATGGACCAATATCAAAAGTCATTAAAGATCATGGCTAGTCGCTAAGGGACTGAGTCTGTCCCATCGCCTCTTGTATAAGCATTAAGGTAAACTTCAACAGCTTTTGGCTATTCAGCTGTGTGGGTTGGCACTTGAGGCATGCTAGGAGAGCCCTTGTATTGACATTGGGAGAATTTCAGGTCTCAAGGGACCAGTGTATGAAAGTACTGCCATCCCCTCTGCTTCTTGACACACATCAATCAAGAGTGGGGTTGAGTTACTACGAAACAAAGTTAAGATACAAAGAGCCCAGGTGGGGATTGGAAGATCTTGGGCACAATCGAATATCAGCTGCTACCGCACCTTAAGAAGTCTACAACATTGAAGCCCAGAAACTCTTGTGTAGCTATGCCCCGTCATGTAATAGAATCCTGGTCATGATTTTTGAACACTTTATCTTGGAATGTTGTCCCTCTACATATAATCATTAAGCTTCATTTAAAGTCCTCAAACAACAGTTAGTTTAAATGTCAGCCAGAGCAACCTACCCCTTTCTTAGAAGATGATAGATAGAGCCATCCTGTCATATAAGCAGATGCAGAAGCAGGTGTCATGCACTTCTTTAGCAAATCATCAATGAATGAGAAGATGGTCATGTCACTTGGCTTTCTGTTGGCACATAATGCTAATACGAGGAATGAGGGATCTTCCATCCCCTTAAGCTGGAGGGGCTCCACCATACAATTGCTATGTTAGGCAGGTAGGCTAACGAAAGGCATGAATCCTTGACGCACTGCCGGCTAGGGTCGGGTTGCTCCCCTTTCCCCAAGAGCCTTGTAAAATGATCCCAGTCCGACGATTCCCTGAATCTTCTGAGATGTCCACTCTTCTAATTAGCATCCATAAAGTATTTCCGGTTTCCACTTTATGTGAGTGTATCAAAAGGAAAATCCAGGAGCATGTTTAATTCTAAATTCAAAAGGAAGAATGACTGATTATGGATTCATTATATGTGTGCGGAACACATGTTCACTTGTATGTTCAATTTGTTGTGGTCTAATTGGTTGAAAGTTGAAAAATGTGGAATTTTTGCCGTCAGATTCTAAGGATTAGGTTCATTTTCTCACGTTTGATTCAATATGTTCTTGCTTTGTAGTTAGTAGCGCATTGATCTATTCTGATATCATGCGAATCAAATAACTATGTTAACTCTGGACTTCCTTGTCTGGCCAGGCAAACAATAGTTTCACCCCCTATGTTTTTGAAGAACTGGCTACAATATATTAATACATTATATGTGCTTTTATAAAACCCCTTGAGATGTGGGTGTAGGCATCCTACATACTAGGTGCTCATATTTGTACCATCTAAAAATCAATCAAAAAGTCATGTAACATACCCTAAGTCTCGAAAATAATGGAGATAGAAGATGGTGGTTTGGGAATAAAGAGGGGCGAGGGTAGGACAGGGAGAGCGTATGGAAGTAGAGCTGAGAAAGTTGAGAGAATTAGGGAAAGTTAGAGAGAGAGAGAGAGAAGGAGGGGGTGGACAGAGAGGAAAAGTTGGGTCCTTCCGCTCTCCCTAGGAAGGGGGGTGGGGCGGTGGCCGTTGCGGGAGAGGGAGGGAGAAGAAGTGGAAGGAGCAAGAGAGAGGAAGATGTACGAACCACGATAATCGTGGAGGACCAAGGAGAAGATTACATGGAGTGAGAGATCGCTAAGGTAGGGATCCCATATAGTGGTGGTCTACCCAAAATTAAAGATTGAAAACACTTTTGCAAATTGTAGCAAGAAAGATGTGATTGCGAGGGCGGCTTCCTTTTTTTCAGAGAATCATCTATTGACTTTGCCTCCTGCCAAGTCTGATAGAAGTAACTTGAAATGGCTTTCATAAATGTGGTAAAAAACATGGGTTACTCACGAAGGGATTGTGAATTGCAAGATGCTCAAGAAAGAACGTTTTTGAGTGATGCTTGGGACCACATCAGACAAAATGCGCCCATACAACCAGCTTTAAGGGCTCTCTGGAAAACCCCAGCCCACGCTAGGGCAAAGTGGTTTACTTGGCTTGCCTTGCACGCTCGATTGCCCACCACGAGCCTCCTCTAGTCAAGGGGCCTCCCTTTGGTCTCTGGATGCCCCTTCTGCCTCCAAGAGGAAGAGTCATCTGACCATATCATTATGCAATGTGTGTTTTCGAAGGTGCTTTGGAGATCCATACTTTAGAGATTTGGCAAATGCATACCACTCGAGCAATCTGTTATCATGATGATGACAAAGTGGCTAAAGTTCCAGTTCAGATCTAATGGTGTGAAGAACATTTGGATTTCCACCTTCTCTACCACTGTCTGGCACTTGTGGGTCGAGCGTAATGCACGTATTCATGAGGGGAGAAGGACCCTTAAGGAGCACCTCTTGGGGCGCATCATTCATTTTGTGAGCAAGTTAGCAGATGGGAAGGGTTGGGCTTTCCACCCCTCTGAGATTCATATTTCTACAAACCTGAAGCTTAAGTGGCATATCGCCCCCCCCCCTCCACCCCAGTCCCAATTGCATGGTCTCTCTCACCCATATGGTATTTTAAACTAAACATCGAAGGCTCGTCCTTTTGCAACCCAGGCATCGTGGGATGTGGGGGGATCATCAGAAATGACACAGGTGGCTTCGTTTGGCCTTTGCTGTCCCTCTTGGCACCAGCTCCAATAATGCCGCTGAGTTCCAAGCCTTGGATCGTGGCATCTCCTTGGCGCATGAGATGGATTGTCGTCCTCTTATCATTGAGAGTGACTCCAAGTTGCTAGTCGACTCACTCACCTACCACCGCTCTCCCCTATGGAGGCTTCGCATCCTCTTGTCCACAATTGTAGGGCAAAGCTCTACTCCTTTGCAGATCACCAGTGGCAGATATTGCATATATTTTGGGAGGTGAATCTGACTGCTGATTGCCTTGCTAAGCAGGCGGCATTCATGGCACAAGCCACAGTTTGGCGGGGCCGACCCATGATTTTGTCACTCCCTTCATTTCGCGGGATAATGCCAATGTCCCTCTGGAAAGACATGGTTAATTTCTCGTACATGTTCTCCTCTCATTAATAAAAACAAAACGGGTAGGGGCTTGTTATCCCCACTGATTTACCCAAAAAAAAAAAAGCACGATTATTTTTGGAGTTCTTCCACAAGCAAGTGGTTGCCCCAACTCAGGTTGGCTCATGAGAGCTTCGAGAGGGGCATCTGCTTCTGCTTTTTTGGAACCACCAAAACTGATTTGGGTGGAAAAATAGTTTATGATGGTCCTTTCCTAGTCTCTGAAAATTCCACCATCTATGTTGACCTATAGGATCCCTTAGTGGGAGGATTTCATACTTTGGACTGTGACTGGTTGGTTGATTTGAAGTATGTCCTTCCAGTTGGATTTGAAGTTTGTTTTGGGGAAGCCCTTGAGAAGCTTGCCATTGTTTCTCCAGAAAATCATGAGGTCTCTGACTGTTTGTGTAGTAGCTCATGCACTACTTTTGGCTTCCCGGAAGATACACGAGTTTGGTTTCCCCCAAATGGACTAGAGATTCTCTTGGATGGAGGCTCTCCAAGAAGGTGTTGGGGTGGGGGTGGGGGTGGGGGTGGGT